AGTGCAGAACATGCTTTATGCCCAGACATACACCCCACAAGCAAGGCTGTCCTGAATATATTCCATCAAAACCCACCAGAATACCACATATTACATTTTCCTATTAAATCTCATGAACGAACAAGCAATATACACAGCATACTTTGGCTTCTCTAAATACAACTGTGATAAAAGCTAAAATACATTATAAGCAGCTAGCGATAAGCGTAAGTGTCTCAGAACTAGCTAAATTAGACCTCATCTTCAGTCCAACCCACACAATAAAGTTAGTCAGTTCACCCATGAGGACTGAGGATTGAGAAGGGTAATGATCTTTTTCAGTCTCTTCACCTAACAGAATTCAGCAGCTCTACCTGATTTCACGGGTGCTTTTCAACTGCAGATACTGAAAAGGGTATGGGTTTTTTTTTCATGTAGGATATGGGACTCTCTCTCATCCTTGTGTTAACCTAGGCCCTGGATGACTAACCCTACAGCTGACACAAACAGATGTTTTTATTTGTTTGAACTATTAGGTCAAAGGGCTAATGAGCTAATGAAAATTCTTTCAAAAGCTATCAAATGAGGCATGATTAGCAGATTTTCAGTTGCTATTTATGTAAAACAGAAGAATTAAAAAATATTCCAAGTGTGCGAATCTTTCATTTCCATCCTAGTCTTGGTAAAAGGCAGATTTAAAAGAATACTATTAAAAATGCATACCTCAGTAGCTGAACCAGCAACTCCAGTCTCACTCAGCAGTGCTGTACTTCCATCAGCTGTTACAACTTAAGTTGTGAGAGTCTCTTCTACTCAGTGTTTGACAGGATCACATTGAATTGTCTCAGCAAGCTTTTATTTTTCCCATAGTATTTTCCTTTGCTCAACTTCTGTAGCATTTTTTTGGTATATGTAGTTTTCCGTGTCACTTTATTTAAAAATAATTTCTAGTCATATAAACATGTCCCTCAGTTTAACATTATGGAATAACTGTATAAAGATTATTCCAATCTCTGCTCCACCAATAAACCTGCCATGTATTTCAGATGTATTTCCAGAGTAACAACATCTTGCTGTGGAAACAAATCAGCCTATTTTTTGGATGTTTCTATTTTTTATATTTATGTGTGTAAATGTGTAACAATGTATAAGCTAGCAATGATTATACAGTAATATTTGTTTTCATCTAGTAGTAAGGAATTTATCTTGAAGATTCCAAGTCAAGGTAATATGCCATACTCCCAAACTGGCTACCACTCAAGAAATCCAAAACTTAGCAACTCAACTCTACACAGTGTTTATTTTCTTTTTCTTTTTTTTTTTTTTTGATAGTGGAAATCATGTATAAATCACAAACAGTACAAGTTGCTCATGTCAGCAGTTGTCCACTTGAATGGGTCAACTTCTGTGTATAGACACTGTATGTTTAGTATAAAGTCAAGATAATATGGCAGTTAACTACTACTTTCAACTACAGTAAAGATACAAACTTTTGTAATATAAATTAATTGCCATTACAAAAAGGCAACTGTATTAACTAATACGGTACAAAAATCTGTAACTTCTATAAATATAATGAAACGCAAGAAGTTAAATGAAATAATACATCACAGATTTTTGTATAGCACATTTGAAGAGGCAAGCTAAGATACACGAGGAGCATTATACAGCAAGGAATAATATCAAAACCCACTAAGATTTAACTTTTTTCCATACAAATCCTAGAAGTACAAGTACAGGACACAACATGGAAGCAGTAAGATTACCAGCTCAGGGCGGGTAGAAACAGAGGTCTTATTGACAAGTTGTAAAGCATTAGGCAGCAGACAGAAGCTTGTCAAAACCAGCTGTTGTTGGATACTGATTGATAATGTTTTCATTCTGACGGCTGAGACACTGCAGACAGCCACAGGTCTGAGAAGAAGCCCAATGTGGGCACATACACATACACACACATACACACACAAAGTAATTTAACAGATGGCTAAAGAACATTAAAGCACAATATCTTTTTTAAAAAGACAGTCTTCACTCCTTAATGAACTTGCATGAAAAGTGAAGCATAATCCCCAAGTTTATTTCACCTAAATGATGAACACACATGAAAAGATTTAAAAAAAAAAAAGAAAAAGAAAAAGAGAGAGAGAAAGAGACAATTAAGATTGGTCATCTGCATAAAAACTGCATGGTGCTTACATATGCTACCATAGCCAGAGCATTCAACAACACTTTAGACAAGGAAGTGTGACGCGAGCCCCTATGAACATTTTTAATTCCTCTATAAAAAGATGAAAGGTTTTATAGACATTAAAAAGGTATACATCCATTAAGTCCATCCACAACACAAAACCACAGAAGCACTACATTCAAAGTAAAGTTAAGCGTTGGTCTTCACCTTAAGCAGTTATGAGGTATTCTTTCAACCTGTGGTGAGGAACGATCACTGTATTAGTAAGAAAAAGCATATTCAAAATCTTTCTAAAAAAAAAAAAATAAAAAATCACTGTTCCTATGCAGTTGGCATTTACCTAAAGAAAAAGCATTAGGCATCAAAAGGTCCTAGTCCAAGTGGCCACTGGCATTAGTTAAAGCCGTATTCTCATTGATTATTTGGGCCTTTTGTGTTAGTCATGTAGCACCTTCCAATAGTGCATAGTTGGGAAATCACAACCAAAATATAACTTGGAAACTCTAAATTTTTTTGGACCAGACTCACTGATGGTAAATATAAACATGGTTTCAAGAATGCAATACAGTCAGGCTTATTTTCATTTGCTGTACCTTTTGGTCCATAACTTTAATATGGGGAAAGAAGGGGAAAAACAGTTAAAAAAAATTATCTCTCATCTTCTAACTAATGCTCCATGAAAAAGCAGTAACAGCTCCAAGTCCCTCTTTTTGCCTCCCCAAACTGCCTGCCTTCTCCAGGAATTAATTCCCTCACTCCCTCCCACCACTTCTTCTTTGTCATTGTCCTTAAACAGGACAGGACAGAAATCTAGGGACATTGTGGAAATCTTGGTACTCTCTACCCTCCAAGCTCACGGCAGCTAAGAGAGAGTTTGGAACTGTATATTAGATCCAGTTCCTCTTTAAATCCAGGGAAAGGAGCCTCCTTAACCCACACAAGAGAAACTGATGGGCAGCTGTGTCCCGTCTAAACTGTGCAGAGAGAACCCAACCATCACAGGGCTCCTCTGTGTGTTTTAAAACGAACAATTCCAGTTCTTGGGTATTTTCAAGAGTATTAGGAGTGAGGCAATTGACCTGGCAGGAAAGAGGAAAAACAAAGCAAGAAGAGATGCCCTTCAGGCTTTCTGCCTATTCTATCACAAAATTAAACAAGGAGCAAGTTTTCCCAGCTTATTTCTGATAATAGGAAGCAGGTTGAAACAGTAATCATCAAGCCATGCATTTGGGCAGAAATAATTCTGAGGGAGTAATGCAAGAAATACACGGAAACTGAAAAGTAAACAAAAAACCCATTAAAAATATTTTGTTTAACAAAGAGTATAATTGCAAGTAATAGAGAAATGGCTTTTATAAGCCTTTAAAAGCTGATCCTTGCTACTTTCTTATTCCCAAATAAACTAGAGAGAAACTACAATAAACTTCAAACTTAAAAAATAAACGCCGAGAGTGGAAAGATATGTTGCTTAAAGCCCTGAAAAAAGGAGTTATGAGTTTCAAAACACAAGCAGAATCGATGAGGAACGACTGACAGACACATCACTATAGTTTGTGTTTGCACACCCTCATGCAGGAGGATAGCTGAATGCACAAGGCACAGCACTCAAGGTGTGCACCAGTCCGGTGACTGATCAGCACGTACCCTGTTGTGACTGACTTAATGGTGAACCAGTGACATGGTATGATTTTTTAATGGGCAAAATCTGTTTATCACGTTTTAAAAAAATCAACAAAAGGCAGCCAAAAAACGGCTAACCTACACTGGGCAAAAATTGGAAAGAGGAAATATGCACCATGTTACTGGAATCAAATGGGATTTTTTCAAATGTTTCCAATGGATACTTTTTTGTCTTCTAAGTATCATTTAGCCCAGAGGAAGTTTGAAAGAACAAGTTACAACCCCTTGAAAAGAGAAGCTTGTAGTACAAACGCTAGAAGGCCCTTAATTATGGTATAGATGCCTTGGCAATTTTACAATAACAGTAGTACTCCATGACTGAGTGACAAAGGAAGCAATCCTTATTTAAAATCAGTCACACTTCTAACTAGTAATAAAGCTTCCACAGCTGAATTAACAGACATTTGCTTTGCTTCTCTAATGGAAAACTACTTTCAATGAAAATTATTACTTTATCCAACTTATTTATATTTTCTAAAAATACTGTTACTTAGAACACCTATCACCTATTTTCCCCGAATACTCTTATCCCCATACATCTGTTTGCTAGTTTACCTTTCAGGTAACTTCCAGCAAAATAACGGTTCTGCCTTTGACAAGGTTATGCTGTGACTTTTGAAGAGGAATCAACTAACTTGTCAACTGTGTTTTCACTTAGTAAAAGTTCAGGACTAACCTTTGCATTAACATGAAACTGCTTGCCTTTAAGGTATCCTATTAAGGTACTCAGTGGCTGTGCTTTCCATACTGCGGGATCAGTAAACAAGCTAATACAAATTAGTCTCACAAATCCTTAAGACATTAGTTATTTTTAAAAAACAAGGTAGCAGGTAGAATTCCTCCTTTACAGACTATGTTATTTTTGTGCGTGTAAAATTTCCAATCAAGGATGACCGCAACGCAAGAAAGCAACATGCAGAGTGCAGAAATAGTGGTAAACAAAGAGGAACTCCCTATTTCAGTAGTGTGGACAACTTTACTGGAAATAGTTGTGTACCTGATTCACAGAATATTTATTTTAACAAAAGGACATTCTGCACTAACTGTGTATGAACAACACATCACAGCAGTCTTGATAGCACATTGCAATTAAGCTGTGAGCAGAATGTGCAGGTACAGTGATGTCTGGAGAACCACTCTTCTCTCTTGCATTTCACATTCTTGAAGGTTCGAAGTCTCTCTCTTCTAGCAAGTTTATTAGAAGGGAGAAGCTGTCTTTTACGGCCTCCATATCATCCAAGGAGCAGGGTTTAAGAATCCAGCGCTTTCCACGTGCAAGTGGCTCAAGTTCAAAATATTTTTTTATCTATTAAGAAAAGGAAAAGAGATAAAGGTATTAATATTATAATAACAACACTTTCTCTCATCTAAAAAAACAAACCAAACCAAACCAGCAAGAAACCCCACATAAAAAGACCGGGATACTCATTTTTAGAATCTTAGGCACAGCTGTTCTTATAATACAGGTTATATGACGTGACCTGAAAGTGTTTTCTTTAGGGGTGAGTGACCTGCTTGGAAGCTACCATTCTACCCATACATTTAACAGCATGGGAGGTCTGAGGAAGAATTATATGGACTTAAGGCAAAGAGCAAAGCACATCAAACAAGTGTTCAAAAACATAGCCAAAACAGCAAAAGTAACTAAGAATTTTTAGGTTCTGTTTGTATTTTAATGTTAAAGCTGTATGTTTCATCATACTCCTACTGGTAAACACTCAAGATGCAGAATTTGTCACTAGACTTCTCCAACTACACAAATGAACTGCCAAAAATGTACAAATCCTAAACATCCCCGTCAAAAGTGAGCTATAGCAGAGGGCTTCTTAACGACCTTGAAAACACTGAAAAAATAAAAATTCTTCCAAAATCAGTTAGTTTTTCTAAAATTAAACATAGAAGAACTAGCACACTAATCTGTTTAGGATAGTAATAAGTATTATACATGAGACATGATGGTTTTCTACAATCATCTTAGTTTAAAATCCAGCACATTCCAGCAGACTTCAGCAGCTTACTAACAATACCAAATAATGCCTATAAAGACGGAAACCTTCCAATTAAAATAATTCAATTTTTACTTCTGCAGGAACCATGCAGCAAGAAGGCATGAGAATGTTACGTAATACAGAATTGCAAGTTTTAAGGTGATTATTAGCCTTCACAGTAGAGGCCCTAGACAGGCAACTGAAGCCACGCTGTGTAAGACTCTAAAGGCAGGGGGAATAAAAAAAGAAAGAAAGGGGTAAAAAAAAGGCTTCCAAAGCCCCAAAAAGCTGTAACATCTCTATGCAGCTCTTACAGTGTCTATGTAACAGTTTTGTTTTTCTGCTGATGTATGCTAATAGAAGAAACTGACCGTAGCTGTATCAACTCACATAAATCAGAATTCAGCTGTGACAATGTGGCAGGAAGGGTGTCCTGTTTTTTAGAAAGGAGTTTCGAGCAGATTGTTTAGTAGCAAATATCAGAAAAAAATATGGTGGTTTTGAGATGGGAACTTCTGCTTCCCCAGCTAAGATACAGGTGAAATCTTTTAAAATCTATTTCTATGCAGAACCGTATCAGTAACAACCTGCAAACATTCGAAAATGAAGCGTGGTACTTGACATTCCCTTCCCTCAAGTTTCAGAAAACATACAAGGTGAAAAAAGCGGGACTTAAACAACCAGTATTTTAATATCAGCATACCTACCTTTTAGCATTGCCATCTCAGTGCCATATTAGTATTTGATACGTTAGCATGGTTATGTGTGACCAGAACCTAAACACTAATATATCTATAAGGGATATATTAAGATGTCTCCAGCAGCTGAAGTGACACCAAATTGAATTTACCCCCATTAATATGTTGAATTAATGGCACCAGTCATAGCACTGGAGAAGGAGGGTAAGAAACCTCTCTTGCCTGTTTCAGCAACTGCCTCCTTGACTGCTAAACAAGGGGAGGAAGTAAAAGCTGCACAGAAGCATAACAAAGCAAGGTGTCAGTGCAGCTAGCTGACAGAGCTGCCTGCTGGTGTTAAGCTAACAAATATGGCTGAGTAATCTGAGATGTTTCAGACCCACAACCCAGAGGATGTCCATCACACCCCCTCTACTGGAAGACTATTGCCATCAGCCCCTTGAGCTCACTGAAGCCTGTCCACACTCTTATTTACATAGTCTCTTGAATTAAGGCTATACCATTCGAAGACATGGTGTAGCCTTGTAGGCTAAAGGAAAAGGTCATTACATTGTAAGGAGAGTACGTGGGTTTAAAAGCATGAAGTATCTAGAAACACATACGTAAGGAAATGATGGCAGTAAGCAGACTAGCGCTGAGTCGTCTACATTTGTAGGCAAATACGACTTTGCTTACCAAGGTATCTCTAGCCAAGAAAAACACAATGACTTTAAGCTGTATTTCAGTGACTGCAGATGCCAAGATAGAATTTCTATTCCGGCAGTAAACCAGCATCAATTGATTTAGTGAAACAAATTTTGCAGATAAATTATTTATTTGGATGCCCAACATTGCTTAAAATTTATTTTTTCCTATTTCTAGGCAGGTAATCAAAATGTAACAAAATTAGCAATGTGTTGTCATCATTTTCCACACCTAAGGAACTCTTCAGAGTACCTGCATTAATATGCTCTAGATGAATGCTGAAATAAAAGTGATCATTAAGCAGTGGCTTTTGAAATGAGAAGTTTTGATAATGGCATGAAAGCACAACTGCTTATATTCACATAAGTAACAGCTATTTTGTTCATACCTACAGAGAAAAAAGATTTGTTAGAGGACTCGTCTCTAATCCAAATGTTGAAAAATAACACTAATTGGCTTACAAATAATAATTAACTAAACCAGAAGTAGCACAGAAGTGATTTTCCACAACCCAAGGGACAATCTGTGGTATGTTACTATATTTCCTCACATAAGCTTCACACCACAATGGAGTTTGCTAAAGACCAGAGCTCTGCAAGCAGTCTCTATGACTTTGAAACTTCCAGAAAGAAGTTTGCAGACACAAATATTTTCCAATTTACCACAACTTCTCCCCCATTTAACTGAGAAGATGTCATTCAGTTCTAAAAACAAGTAAGTTTTTTTAGACTTAAAAAGGAACCCTTTTTTACATGCAAACGATCAAATAAGTACACCAAAATAGACCAACACAATCAGATGCCCAACACAGTTTATACAGTTGAGTTTTCCAGTGGGATGCTCTCAGCTCTCCATCCACTTTTGCTTCTCTAGTTGCTTTCTGCCCCGATGACCATCATTCACACTCGTTCCCTACCAGATTTCCTAAGAGGATGCACACTAATCACCAAAATATCCAAAGGAAGCTCAAATTTTCTGAATATTCACTCACCTAGGTAGCTTTTGCATAATCAGATAACCAGCAGTAACTATTTTACAGCTCCCTTAATCGCGCTAGCACAAAAGGGGTGAGTTCCTAAGAGAAGATCTTTTGTCTTCCCCTCTTGCATACAAGGTGAAAAGCTTTCTGCCTGTTCATGGACGCTGAAGCAAAATATAAAGACTCAAACATGCTTCAGATGTCTGACACATTAGACGTGCATTTACATACTGGCTTTGCATTTTTAAGTGTTTACTGTGGGATTGCTAAATTTTTAGCATAGATATAAGCTTAGAATAAAATACAATCAATTAAATCCACATAATTTTATGACTTCTTTACTACTATTTTACAGGATCTCACTGTATATCTTGGCTCCACATGGGGGCCTTGTTTTATAGAGAAGCTGACATTGTATTTATGCCACATTCTGAAGTCAATAAAATCTAACAATACACATTTGCAATTATTCCCACTCTTCCCACACTCCACCTTCTAAGTCCTATTCTACTGGCACAATACACCAAGCATATGGTTATCAAATGTTGCTTAACCTACGTGCTAGAAAAGTCAAGACACAATAAAAGGATTGGTGCCCAGAACCTCAGCTGGTGTAAATTAGTATAGCAGCATGGAACTGATGTTACTAAATGATATACGTAAGCTGAGTAACCAGGCCCTGCTGAAAGATTTTACATGTTCTATTACTGAACCTCATCTAGCCAGTCCTCAACACACACGAACATAAGATGTATAGGAAAACTTACATACTGTAATATATGAATACAGAGTAATTTCTATGTATTACTCAACATGAAAAAAAAGCTGTTTGAAAGTATTATTTTTCATTCAGAGTCAAAACTTTAATACCAAATTTCACCAACACAAAAAGGCTTTCAACCTACTCTGATGATTAATCTTTTGTGAACAAATACAAAATTAAGGTAATCACTTACATTACCAGGTCGTATCTGGAGGATTAAATAGATTAAGTATTTTTTCATCCATTGCTGTTTTACTGAACAATATTACTGAGAAAAAAAAATTGTAACAACACATCATATGTATATTACATCTAATAAAAGGTTGCATGCTCATGTCAGTGTCCCCACTAGTCTAAATTTTTCGAAGACTTTTACAAGATTAAGCAAGTACTACTGTGAGAGGGTGACTGGTGGTGGTATAAATTAAACTAAAACTATCTTATTTGCTGAATCCACGTATTAACCACAATAAATGGTTTATTCATCTATCCCAAATCTGCATGCACAAGAAATGCAGTAATAATGGGAGACTGGGGTTCCCCATATTCACACTGTGTAAGTTTCATTAAGCTGTGATGCTGAGATTACCTCTTCAGACAACATAAAAATCTGCCTTTTGGAGCAACTGTTTAGAAGGTGCAGGAAAGAGGCAATTTTGATTGCCGAGTCCATGAACAACAGACGAGCTGCCTATAACAGTGACCAAAGCATGTGCAAATTCAGTATCTTTGAAGAAGAGAAAAAGACAAGAAGTCCATCACATAGCATTAAGTTTAAAAAGGGAAATTACACGAAATGAGTAACTTAAAGTGAGTTAACTGTGCAGCTAAAAAGGTAAAATGCTTGCAGGTGGCATAGAAAAAAAATACCATAATTAGAGGCTCAGAGTATATTTATACTACTACAGAAGACTTTAAACGAAACAAAAAAAGCTTTCAAAAGACGCAATAAGGAAAAGGATGGTATTAGAGGTAAAAGAAGTCGTGTCTAAAAAAGGAAAACAGAAAACAAAAGAAAGGAAATTCTGGCAAATTAAATAGAAACCACAAATGTTGACCTACTAACCATAGAGTGGAACCCATTGCTTAAATCACCACTGACGCTAAAAAGTAAATTGAAATCCACTCTAGTTTATGTTAGCGTGCTGGACTGCAAACTGCACAGCCTCTTCAGCTGCTACACGGGCTTCTCTG